CGGTGACTTGGACTGGTACGCCTTGGGCCACTGCGCCTTCGTGATCTCGTTGGTACTCTCCCAAAGCTTCTGCATCAGGTCCTGACCCAGCTCCAAGGTTTGCATGCTTGGACGGGGGTTGATGGGATTTTTGTTAAACAGGGATCCTTACATTATACACCTGAACATTGCCTTGTACATGGTGGTTTCCCTTTTAAAAGCCACACGAAAACGCATCGATCGTCAAAACTGATACTCCCAAAAGGGCGTTCACCGGGAACAACCCATTGCTCCCAGCGTGCGCGACGGCTTGACCCACACCCAAGGCTTTCCACCGGGCTCAATTGGCGAGATATACCACCCCTCGTCAAAATAGATACTAGCATGGCGCCACCGAAATTCCCGGTGAACCAATCCCCCAAAAGGCTACCCTCAAAAAAAAAGACGCAAATACAGCTTCACGCTTCACAAGCTTCCCATGGCCTTGAAATCTGCCGCCAAACTTACAAGGTTGCCAACTTTCACCCTGGTGTATTGAGTTTAAGTGGATACCACTGGCCACCATATGAGCAATGGTCGAAAGACCCATTTACATGGGGTTAACATGGATGGTCATCCAGCTGGTAGTCAGGATCCTGAATAGCCTTTGTGATGCTTCCGGTGAAGGGAACCGTGACCACAGTCCGTGTACAGGGTTTTGACGATATCTGGGTGTGTGCTAGGACACAGGACCCCCCCCCATGTGTTCATTTTATAATGTCCAAAAAACCACTTACCCATCTAGGATTTGCTGTTGCTCAGCAGCAGGCTGTTTTAAGGGGTTGTGGCAAGATTTTTTTGAGATCCGCTTATATATACAGTATATAAGTATGTACATATATATATATATAGGAATCGCAAAGGATGGCTCATGAAAAACCAAACCAGGGTACTGTAAACCACATAGCACACTTCCTTTCATCAACGGGAAGTAATGAGGATGACTCCACCCGGAGTGGTTGAACCCCACCGGCGCTTGAACCCGAAACCCGAAACCCGGGCCCCGAGGAAACTGGCACCAACACTTTGGCTTGGAAGTGGCCGTCCTTAAAAACCAGCGCCCGATCACCGACGGCAAAAGCTGCGTGTTTTTTTTTTTTTCTCCGCCTTTTGCCCTAGACACTCTCCAAAAAGGAGAACATGTCCCAACGGTGACAGCAAGATGCTGGCGAAAGGTACGGAGATCATTTTCGAATGCGAGAAAATGGAGGAGTGAGAGGACCAACGTGGAATAAACGAATTGTGTTAGCCACTTGCAAACTAAAACATGGAAGAAAGTAGAAGTGGAGGAATGTAACCCCTTACACATGCAGAGCCCCCCCCCCATTTGCGGGGTTCAGGACCCATATCCTCGGGAAAAAAAACTAAACGGAAAAAAACTGAACCAAATTTCAGCAATATCCAGAAAGAAACAGGTTCCGGACCCATGTCCTTTTAAACCTCCGAAGCAAATTTCGAAAAGAAAAAAATAGGCAGTTGCGCGAATGTCCCGTTTTTCGTCCGACAAGGCCTTGTTCAGCACCTTGTCGGACTGGTCGTTCTCGAAGATGGACTCCCACCCACCCCCGGCACCTCCGCATCGACAAATAAGGGACAGGGAAATGGGGGTGGCCACGTGGTCCGTAGAAGTGTTCCAGCTCCCCCGTAGTTTGAGGGTAGTTTGAGGGTAGTTTGAGGGTAGTTTGAGGGTGTAGGTGTCTCTCGAAGGGTACCCTGTCTTAAGGTTGGGTCTATTTAAATTGGTCCAACCGGAGTGGGAAAACGGGGGCCATCAGCGCCTTCCGGCTGGCGAAGGGCGGTGGGGAGGAGCCAAAAATCACTTGACGTGTGGTGGGTGCGTCAAAATGGTGTCCCAATTTTTGACTTTCCTTTTTGGTCTTCCTTTACAACCTGTAAACCCCTAAGAAAAATGAGTGCCTTCAAAATGTAACACACTCAAACAGGCCACGCAAAACCCGGTGGCTCATACCCCGCCCCCCCCCCCCAAACGTGTTTGGCCTCCCGTGAACGGGGTGCGCCTAGACCAAACGGGCCCAAATAGGACCAAATGGAAAACATGAGAAAATGGGACCAACTGAGCTGTGGGAAATGAGATTAAGGACTAAAAGGGACCAAATGAGACAAGTGGACGAAATGAAACATGGCACATGAGACCAGGGTTCCGTTTTTTGACAACCCCACAGTGGACTTAAACCCGGGGCTGGTCGATTTCCCACCAAGGGAAGCCCGTGGATGTAAGTCGGCCCTGCGATAGTCCACAAAACGGAGCCCATGAGACGGGGATCCCATGGGACAGCGTCCCATCTACCCACACGCCCCGCGTGCGGGGCGGACTTCCTTTTCGGAGCTCCATGACCTGCGAGGCGTAACCTTACCCGAGGCTCCTTTCTGAAGCTTCAGGAGAACCCAAGACACACGCAGCAACTTGCAGCCTGAAAAAAAGAACAAAAACAAAGAACAAGCAACCAGATCCCTTGCAGGGGGAGCCAGAACCAAAACACAAAAACACGAGCCACCCAAAAATAGCAGAAACCTTGCAGGGGGTGCCACTCCCAAAAAAACAAAACATGAGCCACCCCTTAATAAAAAAAAAGAGGAAAAAAACTCGGGTGATATCCCCAAAAGCATGCGGTGCTCTTTTTAGTGCTCGCACCACCCCGCAGCCCTCCCAGAACCTCGTGGAACCCTGGTGCAACCCTCGTGGAACCTTACCTCAGGGCAGCCCCGGACCACCCCGGAGCCTATCTGGGCTGAGACCTCAAAGCTTTCAGCTGTTTGGGGAAGAAAAAGAAACTCGGCCCAACTCCGCCTCCGGCGCCGGTGATCTGGCCCCCAGTGTCCAGCGCGTCGGCGCGGCCCTCCCGGGGCCCCCCGTTCCAGGACCAGTAGACCCCGCTCTTCGCGCACGCGGGGTCGTGCAGCACCTGATGGTGAGCACCGGATATTTGGGCACCTGAAACTTATGGAATGTGAGGTGACTGATGGGATTTTACTTAGGGACCCAAGCTGGTGGACATCAGAATTCGGTGAAAATGCATGTCTAGCCACTGGAGTGAGGGACCAAAACTGGTGGACATCATTTGGGGATGCATGTCCACGGACCACTTTTGAGGTGGTGACCCAGTACAATTCATACCCATTTAGGTGGCTTTTTCTTGCCACGCGCACGGTGCACTGAGGGCGCGGCCCTTTGAGGGGGGGGGAAGACAAGTCCAGATACAGCGGACTCCAAGTCCAGATTTAGGTGGGGGTTCTCAAAATGGATGGTCGGTGTCCTTCTGGTTGACCCAAACAATTTCAAGCGAGTATGGCAGAACAAGCTTCCCCATTCACTCCCTAGGGTTCAACTTGCCCCCATGAAAAGACTGGCCTTGGGACCCAATTTGGACGATGACAAACATGAACGGTACACAATGATGGTGAAATATGAACCCCCTTTGTTATAATGGGGGTGTTGAACCCAGGGTACTGATATGATTCTAGGCATTATTTCCAAGGATCCAATTGTTTTTGAGGAAACCAGTGATTGAAAAGAACGATGGTTGAAAAACATGGGGAATCAACCCCTAGAATATTTAGGTGGGGGTGGGGATCCCCCGTTTCCGTTGCTTTATCAACAAGATCAAGAGAAACTCCCATATGAGAACAACATGCAACTGTATTTAGTTTGCTCAAACACGCAAACCAAACAGGCAAATAAAGTGCTTGACAATAAATGGACCGGGTCCTGTTCAAAATATGTGCATGTCTCAAGCTAGCGGTCCCCAAAAGATCGCTTCGGTGGTCCTTGTGTCTTTGGAAGAACAAGGGTAAAAAACGCCTACCCTCAAAAGAGACCAGCCAACTGGACTTCGGGACAAGAACATGGAGGTTTCGAAACCCCGAATTGGCCCATGTTCCCATGTTCAGCGCTCCAAGGGTCCAGTTTTCCGCATAAGCCTTCCAAAAAGATGGAAAGGATCCTACATGCACGGCTGTGTCCTTGATTGGGGGCCAAATGCAAACCCCAAAGCTGGGCCAAATGCATCCGCCGCCCAAAAAGTCAGTTGCTGGCTAGCAGAACGGGAACATGGATCAATCACCAAAAGACCCCGAAGTCAAAAGGTGAGTTCAGCCTGGCAATGGCAAAACTTGCCGGGTTTCCCTTTTTCGCTTCCCTTATGCTGAAACCGGGGTGCAAACCTTTAAAAAAAAAACGGGGAAACCCCTAGAAAGGCCGAAGGCGGCAGCGACTGCCGAAAGCCCCAAAAGACCTCGGCTCGACTTTTTCGATTTGGGGGCGACCTCCGGGATTCGTCTTCCAAAACGAATGTTGGACCATTCGAGGCTCGCAACCAAGCAAAAAAAGAAAACACAAAGCCCTCTGGACTCCCTCCGACCAAAAAATCGCGTTATGACGAAGCCGAATGGAACAAACGATCCAGAGAACTCGATACATCCTGGAGCCTCCATTGCTACCTTAATTTTTGCTACGAAATATTTTTGCTCGTGACACGTTCTTCTCAAAAAAACGCGCGTTTTAACAGAAAGTGCTCGAGACATCCGCGCAAATGCAATTTGCTACCTGCGATTCGTAGCATTTTTTGAATTTGCGCTTGTTTGCGCTTTTTTGCGCCGATTTGCGCTCGTTTTGCACTTTTTTTGCACGTTTTTGCGCCCGTTTTGGCGGCAACTTGACCATGGGGAAGGAAAACACACGGCCGAATGGGATTTCTGCCCGAATCGTCAAAAAGCGCTCGGAAGCGAATGAGAGGCCAACAGTGCTACGTCGAGTCAATTTTGGTATCGAACAAGGGGGGAGGCAGAAATTTATGCTACGATGACAGGTCATATGGCCATGGGTCGACAGCCCGCACCCCCAGTAAACATCCGATTCAATCCAACCACTAAAAAAGGTTCTGAAATGGGTGGTGAATTCACCTACCATTTCCAAAATGGGATCCACCACAACGGTTTTGACCACCACAGCCATGCCCCGCCCTTTGCAATCTCAGGCAATTTCACTTGCGGTGAATGCCCCAATCCCCCTGCCATCTTAAAAAGGGGAACCACGCAGCTCCAACTCATCTGGGGAAATGGGCGATGCTTTGTGGCTACCTGAAGGGAAACCAAACTGGAACGCTTGAACCCAAAAAAGACTGTTGGGCCCATAATCATTGTGGGGGCGTCCCCAAGTTTAGTGGCTAGGTCCTCCAGTAGAGAGTTTAGAATAAGTTGGTACCCGATCTTTTTTGCCGTTGTCTACTTTGGGGGGAACTCCATGGCCCCCAAAAAAACCGCCATTTTTGGGCTCGAGCACGGTTCCAGTGATGGCTGTGGCAAAAATCAGGCAGCATGACCCCTAGCCATGCTGGAAAATCACCGAAGACCAAAGTGTGGATTCCCATCATCAAACCGCCCGTGCAGTGCCAAAGTGGGTATGGCTCGTTAAGAAAGGAATTTGGAGCTTCCAAAATGGATTTCTCTTGGTGTCCAATAACCCCAAGACTGGTGCGGTTCGCCTCAAAAAGCAATGAGCACAAGTGTTGGATTCCCATAATCATCACATGTGCCCTAAAAAATAGACCCCGAACTGCTCATTTTTTTCCCTTCTGTTGCTCTTCTGAGTCCCTTCTGTTTCCCTTTAAAAAAGAATGTTTTTTTCAGTCACTGGTGCGATCGGTTTTTGGGGTAAGGTGGATGGCAAAAAGCGATCGCACCTGGCGCCCACTTCTCACATCGACCGAGCCCCGAGCCCCGAGCCATCCGCACCCGGATTTTTTTCGGCCTGGAAGAGCCGGCTGCCAGCCTCCTCCTCGCCCACATAGCCCCCGGTGATGTACTTCATGAAGACCGGGAAGTACCTTTCCGACGATCCGATTTCCTGGAATTTAGCATGGGAAATGGACAATGGAGAATATCACCCCGTCCCGAGAACATCTACGGCTTCTCCATTTACCCGTTTTGCCATGGCCCACCCCCTAAGAAGCTGGTTCTCTTCAACACTCTTACTGTAGATGGACGGAATCCATTTCGCACCACTTTGAAACCATGGGAAGCAACTATTTGTTGGTGTTTACAGGGGAATCATCATCCCAAGCTTTGTTGGGTGGTGCGAAATGGATTTCGTCCATCCACAGTATCACCCCCTCCACCCAAAATAATCTGGTGGTCTCTCCATTTACCCATGTTGCCATGGCCCACCCCACAAAAAACGGGTTCTCTCCAACTGAAAATCTGGTGGTTTTCCGTTTCCAACTTTGAATTCCGGGATATAGCACCCCTCCACGATTGTCCCATCTCCCAACGGCACATCCCAAGAAAACGGGGGAAGATTGCTGGCTTCTCACAAAAAGCGTTTGATTTTCCCGGAAGGTGTGAATGCCAATAAGGAAACCCCAGTTTTCAGTTTTCAGTTCTCACATCCGGGGCACCTGTGAGCTGTAAATAGGGAAACTTGGGCTGAAGAGAAACCAAAACGAAACCAACTTCCATGCCCGTCTGACCAAAAATGATGGCCACCGAAAAGTGGTCGCTGGATTCAATCCCCCCGAAAAAAGGGCCACCCAGATGAACCCGCCGGTTCTTTTGTGGGTTTGAAGGGGAAACCACCAGGAGAAACGCAAGCCATGTTGGGTCCTGGTCCCAGACGAGGGGCTCAGTTCCCCTGCTTCACTGGGAACGAAGATTCACGCGCTCGGCCCAAAAGAAGAAACTTGATCTGAGGAATCTGCTCGGCAAGACGGCAAGGTAAAGCTGGTCTCCCTCTCCCCCCCTCTGCCGCCGGGCCCCCAGCATTCTCTCCGCCCCGTTCCACCCCCCCCCCCCGGAACCCCCCCACCCAGCACGGGGCGCTTGCGGAACCAGGGCCGCTTCTCCCGGAAGAGCGGCGTCTCGGCAATGCAGCCTGGGGGTTTCCCCGTGACTTATGATATGTCACCAACCTGAAATAAGGGGGGGTTATTCCCTACATAAACTATATAAACCATATATGTTCCACATAAACCACAGTGAGGTTGTGTGAGGTCGCTATCAAAGAGTCGTTGGATTGGCAGGGAATGAGAGATGACCCGCAACAAGAACCGTGCCCGACTAGGTTAAGGGAGTCCCATTCCCAAACCCGGCAGGTCAGCCCCTGAGCACCAGCAAGAGAACATGCCGGTTTGATACTTGCTGGTCACCACGCCCTTTCTGATCAGGGAATCCAGCTCAGCCCGGATGCCTTCTCTGAGAAGCACAGGCTTGCCACGTGGAAAGTGTGCAACAATTGACCCTTTAGCTAGTAGGAGCACGCTCTTACGTTTGTGTTCACTCCAAGCACGAAAGTTAAGACATTCTGGGATACGCGGCTGAATCCCAAGGAAGGGCTCCAAGCGAAGCCTGCCCGCAGGAAAACTTCCAACATACACACCTGCTTACACCAAAGTGCGTGGGGGGAGGTCCAAGAAAAAGCCGCAACTCAAGCCGGTACAATAGTTCCCATCATTGCCTACACCCCCGAACCGTGGTGGACGTCCGGTCGCCTGTAACCAGATAACCCAGACATCTCATGCGTCAACAAAAACGCCGGCCGATGTATGTAGATACGTGTTTGTACCTGTGCGATAGCGACGACAAACGACGCGAGCCAGCCCTCCGACGTCATAGTCCAGTAACCCGGGTAGATGGAGCTGAAGGAAATACCGGTCGACCGGTGGAAGCGCTCATGGAGCATGTTGGTGGTCATCATGAGCGCCAGCTTCGTGTCCTCACGGGTGGGTGTGGACGATTTAGGGAAAGAACGCCCATTTTGGTTTGCGGGGGAAGGATGGCACAGTGGCTCACCCGCACTTTGGGCAGAGGAAACGGGCGCTTGTTTAACCACCCGCCGCGAGAGATCTTGGGTTGGTCGCGGGCGCAGCGCAAGGGTCGGGGGACCTCAATGCCAATAGTTGGCCTGCGGCCGGGCTTGACAAAAGAAGCTCACGCCCGGGAGCCCGCGTCGTTGCCTTCTTTTCGCCACTGCGAGCAATCAGCCTGCTGCGTCAACAGACGCTCCCCAACCGACGCGCGCGCTGCGACGCGCTCCAGCTGGACCCGGCACGAAAAGCGACTTGAGCAAGGGAATCATCCAGCTTCTGGGTGAACAACCCACGCGACCTTCTTCAAATCCACTCTTTGGAGTGCTTTTGGCTGGCCACAATGATTCCTGAAGCTGCTCTCCTTGCTGGTCAGTAGGGAATCCTCAGTGCTTTGGAATGAACCGCTTGGGAATCTTTGAAAGAGATTCCGTCAGATGCTTCGATTCCTCAACCCAAGCTTCTCAACAAAGGCTGACATGCTTCCAACCTGAGACCACCCCTTCCAAAGGAAACTATAGCGCCAATCTGCCAAGGCGAAGACTTCAGGAAGCCTCCTTGTGATCTGGCCTCGGAACTTAGTGTTTGACCGAGCACACCGGGCTCCGCATTTTTTTATTCACTCGCGGGGGCCTTGTACATTTTGGCGCCGTTGAAGTTGTAGCCGTCCATCATGGCGATGGGCTTCTTCGCGCCCAGCTCCAGGCCATCCAACTCCTCATGGCGTCGCGCCCGGCTGAGATACCACGCTTTGGTGTCTGTTGGTGGAACCGCCCCTCACCAAAAGAGTACCAAAAAACGAACCTGCGCAAGAAAGAACCGGGGGGAAAATCAATACACTTTTATACCAAAAACGAACCTACAAAAAAGAAGGAACAGGATGGTCGACTGGGATTCTTTCATCCGGGCTCAACATTAGGTGCGCTTGTGTTAAAATAGACTGCATCTTTCTCGGAAATAGCATCAAACCCATCCAAAAACTGCCATCCTAACTCACAAAGTGATTCCGCTTTTCCAGGAACTAAGCTCGAAAGAAGAGGGAGCGCTTTGGGCTTGGAAGAAGTGAAACGCCCCAAACAACTAAACAACTGGAGAACACCTGGAAAAGAAAGAATGTTCACGTGCCCCATAGCATGCTAACCCTGGTTTTCAGCCGGGTGGACTTCGAAAGTCGGTACATGTTTGCAAAGAAGCACTCCACTCAACAAGCACCGGACATTTCTCTGGGGGGCGCAGAAACCAAAAGCAAAGCCCCAACCAGGTCTTCCGGGCCCCACATCCTTCCATATGGAGACTCGTCAAAGGGGTGGGAAAAATAAATAAATGGGTGCGCCTGTTGTGGAGGGTACGCCTTCTGGGGTTGGCTTTAAATGAAAACCAATAGGAAAACCACCATGGTGGTGGGTCAAATGTGATGAAGAAATCCAGTGAACAGCCACGTCGGCTCCTTCAAATCCGCGATGGGATACACCCCGCCGCCGCCCACCGTGTTGTCGTTCCCGGTCACTGAGCCGATCATCACCACACGGGCGTCATCCGAGTCGGTCATCATCCTGGCACTTTGAGGGAGAATGGCGTATCCCAATATAGGGAGCCCGCTGATTGGATCGAATGAAACGCAGAAACAAAGCGCCCACTCTACGGAGGGATTCCCTATTGCAGGCAACATTCATACGACCAGCCCTTCAAAGCGAAAGGCCCAACCTTGGCCAAGAGGCTGCAAAGATCTCAGCCAAGATGAACAAACAACCAAGGTTTTGTGCATGTGGGCCTGTGTGTCTACACGCATTTGCTTGTCGAGGGCTGGATGTTGAAAAGCGTCATGTTGCAGGCGGCACGCTGCATGCCGACGCAACCGGACCGAGGTGCGGCATGACGCGGCTCGTCAGCAGGAAGTGGCTGAGGTAGTTGATCTGCAACTGCTGCTCGTGGTCGTCCTGGCCATGAGCGCTCATTTGGACCTGCAAATTCCCGTTGGCTTCCCTTCTCAACAAACCAAAAAATATCAATAGAAAAAAAAGTTCCCCTGAACGACACACGCCCAAATGTTCAGGATGTTGATCTGAATCAGGGACCCTTTGGTAGGCTCAAATGATGTACATCTAAAGGTTCATAGCATTGGTTTATGGCTTTGCGGAACTCCGAAAAACATGCTTGTACATGATGTCCGGACAAGATTGCATGGCTGGCCACATTGGAATATTGTGGCCAACGTTGCTTCCCTGGTAGAAAGAAAGGGATGGAGTCCAAATCCATGAAACGTTGCTCATCCAACGGCAATCCTGCTGGGTAACCTGTGCACTCTTTGGTAGATATTTGCCATGTTGACACGACTGACAACCATGTTTGAGGTGCTCTAACTCTGATTGCCTAATACTTCCCGAAAGACGGCCATTTTTTGCCTCAGGACAGCGTCACGCCCCGAGTCAAATCGTTGTACCATCTCCCCGCAAAGACAAGGGTGCCAACAAAGAGCAAACGATCACGCCACTTTCGCAAGTTCCAAAAAATGAATAGGCGGAAACCCTGACCAAAACCCCCCAAAGGCCGCTTCCCGGCCGAGACGTGGGTCCTCCGTCCACTTGGGGTAGTCCAAAGTGGGCTGGTACACCGCGGCGTTGCAGACCAGACGGTCCACCGGCCGATCCCCCCGGAACTTGTCCAGCTCCTGACGTGACATGCGGAGCATGCCACCGAGAGCGTGCCGGCGCTCAGTGGAGATGAGCCAGGTTTCTGGGCTGCCCTCAGATCCCCCGCTAAAAGTTTAACTTTTCGTGGGTTAAATGGAAACTGCCACCAAACACTAAAAAGGCTAAAAAGCAAAGGAGATGGCTGGGAGCCACCAAGTTTTGGGAGTGAATCTAGTAAAGGAAACCACAGGGGATGGTTTGGGGTCAGCTCCTTCCCTGCTGAGAACCAGCAAGTCATGGGACGTGGCCCATTTTCTGCCCCCCGATTTTTCCAGTTCTTGCCCCGTTGGGCAGCACACGTCTCACCCACGGACCTTTGGTTCTACCCGCGAGGTGCTTAGAATCGGCATGTATAGACCTTAGCCCCTCAAGCCTCAACTGCCGGTGTCCAAGAAAATCCCAAGTCGCCACGAAGCATCGACCGCCTCTTTCACAGACTCTATGTCCCCTTTCGGAGCCTCCAAAAGGGGATACCGATTCTTTCAATTGGAAAGTCCACGCATCAACTTTCCACTTGGAAAATTGCTAGCCGGACCCCCTTGCACCACCACTCCCTTTTGCCAGACCCTCTCGGCGCCTCTCGCCTCGCCTACGCAAAAAAAAAAAGCTTGCCGCTTCTCTCATTCGGCCTGGGCGAAGGACTTCACCGAGTCGAAGCTCGCGAGGTCCAGCTGCATCGGGGTGAAGCGCTCCATGTCGAAGCCCTCCACCTCCGCCACCACCTGCCGTCGCGAGCCGCGAGTGCGCGCTCTCGAGCGAGCGGTCCGAGGCGCGGGGTTTTCGCCAAAGCCCGCGGGGTTTTGAGGCTCGACGCGAAGTTTGAATCGGCAGGGGAGAGTTCTGGGCTTCGTCGTTGAAAATGCGCGGCCGCAGCAACATTCGATCAACACAGCAATTGTAGTTTGGCAGTTTTGTGGGGGGATGGCCACAATCGAAAGTCGGAAAGGGTCCGGCCAAACCGCCGCGTGGGATGCCAACGAGGCGCTTTGTTGGAATTATCAGCTGCATGGTATCACTTGGGTAGAATTACTTACCCCAAAGGTCGGACCAAAAGCTTAAAAGGTCACTTCCCTTCCCAGCCAAAGGGCCTAGCAAAAGCTTCCTGGATACCACTCGCGCCGTGCTCCTCAACCCGGCACGCGAGCCAAACGCGCCAAGCGTAGCGAACCGACCCAACCTGAAAGGGCAGGGTCCCTTCAGGGACGGTCTGTTGGCCCCTTTAAGACATTCTGACCCGTCACCTACTTGAAAAAATGATCAGCACCGTGGATTCAAGTCATCACCGTGAGAAAGCCACTTGGGGGTGTCTTTCTTTGATGGCACCCCGTGCTTGTGGTTTTGAAGGGAAACCGACAGGAAAAGCGAAAATATGTTGGGGGCTCATCCAAAAGAAAGACGAGCCACCCACTTGCCCAATCGAATCCACTTGCTCTTGGCCGCATCCTGCCTGCATCTTATCCAAATCTCGCACTGCGCCCACCACGTGGTAGTCCTGCCAAAAGAACTCTTGCGCTAGCCCGGAATGATTCGGACAAGGCCGTCCCTTTGCATTGAATCCTGTCCTGCTTAATAGAGTTGAAAAGGCGTTCGATGCATGACCCGCAAAATGTTCGCATTCATTGTCGTATACAACAGGAATCACACCGATCGGCCTTTCCAAAAGTTCAAGCTAAGAATCGGACTCCCAATATGGCGCGTGGAGGTCGTCCTTCTCCCTCCGGCTAAAATTTTGCGGCTCCCGCAAGAAAGAAGAAAAAAAGATGTGAGCCAGAATCAAATCCCGGTACAAAAATGGTGAACCCAAAACCATGTAAAGCATTGAGAAGGCGGATATCCGCACCTATTTATGGTTGGGATCGCCCCTAAGAAAAAAACCGCGCCCAACCACTTTCTCCGGAACCCCTAGGGCTTCGTCGACGCGCCGGGCGTCCTTGGCGCGGAGCAGCGCCTTGGCGGTGGCCTTGCCCAGGCCCGAGGAGGTGCCTGTGATGACCACCAGCCTCGCTCCGAGCGCTCGGATCTCTCGGATCTCTCGGATCTCGGAAATCCGATCCGCCCATTCTTTGTTCTTTTTGTGGGGGGGGGCTGGGTCTTTTTGTTTCTTTGGGGGGGGGTTACTTGGAAGACGAACCCGGTGTTGGTCCTCCTCTTGGGCTGATACACAACCCCTTTGCGGAAATCAACATCACTTAGTAGGTGGCAGACCTAGTGAACACATTATGGCCAGAGGGGTGTGGCTCGGTGGTTTTTTGGGCCAGACGCTAAAAACGTTGCATTGGGTTGACAATCGACAAAACGAAATTCCCAGAATGCAGAAAAAACGTGAAATGCAGAAATCAACATAAGTCAGATAGAGTGGCAGACCCGGTGCCGTGAACAGATGTTGGCCAGGCCAGAGGAGTGTGGCTGGGTGAGGCCGAGGCAAGGGCTTTGGGCTCATTTGGGGCTGCCCTTTTCACAACACCAACAGAAAACCACCCATTCTGCTCATCCCTTTGATGAATACCCATTTTTAGGGGACCCTGGAAAATGGTGGGCTCCCCTTCCTTCAGTTTTCCAAACAGCCAACATTTCGGTACCAACTCAACAAAATAGACGCGCCCCCCTATCTTGCCACGGTTCCTGTGAGTGTTCAGGCTCCCCCCAAAACCCAGGCTTTCTTGGGTTCTTTTCCTTTTAGGCGCCTTGGGGTCCCATTCCTTCCTCTTAAGTTATGGCATGTTCGCGTTACCAGCGTTGCTGTTTGCAACGTTTATAGGAGCGCTGGTAAGGCATCAAGTAAAGACCCACCTGGTTGCTTTCCTTGTGGTACATGATCCAAGCCATGTTGCTTTTGGCGTCAGAAAAAACTACCTCTACATGATTTGGTCCACAGGAATCCCGTATCTTGTTTCGTGCTGCACCCTCAAAAACCGATACCAACTGCTGGATCTCGGGCCAAAGATGACTTCCATTGGCTTCGATGGTGCACATGTCTTGAGGCCGCTACCACAACTCCTTGTTTTTGGGGGTGGCGTGTTGTATTTTTTGTAAAGGGCAGAAGGGCAACTCCGCCATGTTCTTGGGAGTCACCAAAGAAAACAAGACGATAGATGGCTTGCCTGGGTCCAATAGCGACCAATAGCAACTTGAAAAGGGAACCAAAGGGCAATGACTTGGACGACCGGTGATCCCTTTTGCTTGCCCAGCCTTGAAAACGGTAACTCCAACAAGAAACCACACACCCATATGGCTGTGGGTCAAAATATGTACCCAAAATGGCACCCTGGTTTCTGGAAACATAGACTAAAACCTGCGGTTTCTTGGTGGCTTAATGTGACCCGTACCCATATGAGGAACCAAGACAAACTCGGAGCTTGGGCCCGGGACCCAAACATGTTTAAGGGGGATGCAGCGCACCTGACAAGAGAAACCTGGCGCTTCTTTTGCGATGAGGCAAGAATGACAGAAGCTTCAAGCCGTTGGGAAACAATCCCAGAGCCAGCCAGGCTGAAAGACGTCGACTCCAGCGAGTCACTTGAATTTCCCCCATTTGAAAAGCCGACCACCTAGAAACAGTCAGTTCCCTTGCGGCCGGCACTCGGGACGTCCAACTCGCCCAGAGGCCCCACCCAGCCGAGCCAGAGGCTCTTCGGCCAGGTGCTGCTTGAGGATTGCAAGCTTTGTATCAGTCAACCGCACAAAGGCCAAGAAAATATCCTTTACAAAAAGTAAAACTACCACACACACACACACACACACACACAGCACAAACAAACAAGCAAGCAAGCAAACAAAAAAATCAACAAGCCATCAAACAAGCAAACAAAGCAAAAAAGCAAAAAAAAACAACATACTTTGGTCACATCAGCACCAAGCAGCTTCTTGTCCCCAAAGCGGTTCCCCTTCCGCATCTTCCGCAGGGACGGCGCCTAGCGACTCCGTACCAGCTCGGGGGATGAAATGGGTGTGGGTCAAAATTAGACCACCAGGTTCGTCCTTGGCAAGCCATTTTGGGCGCTTGCCATTTCGGGGTTACCCTAACCAGCCAAACAACTGGGATCCCTTCCGCATTGGAAGTTACTCAGCTGCAGTCCTCCGGCAGTTGCATGGAAACAGCTTCCCCTTTTGCATCGAGGTTTGGAGAAAGTGGGAAACCCCATCTACAAGAACCAGAAAAATGCCAACCCCCACAATCCGCAACTGATGCTAGTAGGGGTTCTAAATCAACGCAGACAAAGAGGGACACGAACTCGAAATTCGAACCAATGCAGTGATTAAGTTTGTTCGGAAAGGAAAAGGTATGAGACGGTCTTTTGGGGAAGGGGGGTTTTGGTCGCTCATTTGCTGAGACATCACATTGTTCCTGGCTCCCTATCCATTCAGCCTACAGGTGCCGGAAATTCGCCACAGTGGTTTGCTCACCCGCATCGGAGGACAAATTTGCCAGCCAGGAATGGGTGTTCAACTATTTGGCTTCGGCAGGTTGGTGCATATCCTTGGGCATGTCGCAATCCAAGCACAGTGGTCAAAAAATATGATTCTGACGGAGAAAACGTGGGGCAGTACTGTGGATGGGAAACCGAAATCCGCTTCTCGCACCACGAAATGAAACCATGGTTGAAACCACAACGTTGGTTGGCCAAATCATCATTCCAGCAGACTTTAGGTGGTGCAAAATAGAATTTGACCATCCACAGTACTGTACTTGAACCAACATTGAAACAACAGGAAATGTGCACTCCCGGAGTAGTTAAAGTCCACTGTCAACCCCTGACAGAGAAAGAAGCTATTTTTGAAGATATGCCGTAACAAAGGCGGGCGGGCAACCAAGGACGGACACTCGGTCAAAAGGAATCCAAGTAAAATGTTCGATCAGGGGTTACAGGTGACATACGTCCAACCTCTGAAGATTGCCCACTAGGAGACTTACTTGCAAATCCGGGTAATGCTGACCCCTGATTCATAACCCCCCCTTCTTCTGCTCACTTTCTAGTGGGGATTCCCTGCTTGCATGGAGGCTTGTATTAATCCGCATTGCAAAGACAAAAAGTCCCGTGAGGCGTTGTTGCCGTGGAGTTCGTGGAATGGGCCACCGAGCCCTATGCTGTTTGCTTGGCTCGACAGGAAAATCTCGGGACAGTCGAAACGTTTTTGTTAGGCGCATTTATCGTAGTGTTAAGCAACGGCTGCTTCTTTTTGAGCGGTTCTCCAAAACAGTGTCCTTAGCCTTGGTAAGGGCAATCTGACGTCGCTGGAGAAGAAAAAAAACGGGCCGAACTGTTTTTGTCGATTGCCACCAAAGAAAGTGCACGACACCTTTTTGTGGAGGTCCATTGAAACGACCCTACTGTTGGAGGCTCCCTCAAAGGAAAATGGCTCAAATAAAACCTTTCTCCAAGGAAACTGGCTCCGAGTATCTCTGGACAGAACCATCCAAATAGTGCCCTGCCCCCAGGAAAGCTGTCTCCAAAAACGTTTGCCTTGTACTGGGATGTTGGAAATACTTGGCAAGCGGGTGTCAACCGTGCCCATAAAGCCAACTAACCCGAGTAGTCCCAGTTATACCTTGCAACCTGTAGCCTGAACATCCAAGTATGGTGATCTTTGAAGCAACAAGGAAAAGTAGGCCTCGACCCTGCATCAGCCCATGCTTCCTGCCCGCAGCCTTGATCTTGGCCATCCATTTCCAGCCCGCCGTCAGCTCCACCAAAATCAGCAGCATCCAGAAACGGAGCATCGCTATTCAAAGCAAATTGAAACAGAGGCTAAGTCGAAACTGGGCGAAACGGGGGCCGGTGGCTTAGCCGCATCAAAGCAAGCCTGAATGGCTGAGGCACGAAACAAGTGCTTCACATGGCGGAAGGAGTGAAAGATGTGGCCATGGATCAAAATCCAAAGCCCGTACCCCGGTGAACATCCCAATCCAACCACTAAAATAGGTTCTAAAATTGGTGGTGCACCTACCTGAAAATGGTACCATTGGCTTTGACCCACTGCCATGTGGCTGGTGAAAAACTTGTTTTCTCAGGGTCTTTTTTGGATGAGTCAAGTGGATTTGGGCGTTCATGGAGCCAAGGAAGAACAGGGTTCCCACAAACGGGCTTCACGTGATGAAGAAATGGTTTGGGTTTGGGGACCGCCCAACTCAGTCCGCGACGCAACGTCCACGAATCCGAGATCCGATGCAACCAGCCAACTCATGATGTGTCCGACTCATGTCCGAGCCTGGTCTGCACAGAAGCCAACGGCTCCAAGCTGAACTAATTGAAAACTATGGCCTGTGACCTTTTGGTGGCGTTGCGCATCAACTTTGAGGTCTTAAATATCACACTTGTGTGGACCGTGGTGGGCCCTCTTTTCCTGGTTTTAACATCAACGTGTGGGCCCGCCCGTGTTGAAATGACTTTCCTTGACTCACTCCCAAAAGAGAATGGACCATGCCTTCTCAACATCCCCAGAAAACACCGTTTTTTGCTTCGGGCAAAGCTCCAAAAGAAGCCCAAAAAGGGACTGGAAAAGTTCTGGTTCAAGCTGAGCCGAAAAGATCTGCCGCAGTCATCAAGTGCTGCAACTGTCCCAAGGCGTCACCCGACGAGACCCAAGTGCAGTCAGGCCCATGAAGTCTTTCCAGAGTTGAATCAACTGTGAAGAATCAAAGGACGACACTTAGGGTGATTTTCCATGTGGTTTTAAGCCAGCCTCCCCAATCTGGAGTGACAGGCCCCCAGCGCTTGCAGATCTGTCTGCAGGCACTATGCAGATTGCCAAATCGCGTTGAAGCAAAGATTTCGAGATATATGGCTGGCTCAAAAACCCGGACCAAAACGGAACCTTGGTAAGTGGAAACATGGACCAAACCCTGCGTAACCCCTCCTGCTTAATTTTGAGCCACACCCATATACAGTTGTTTCCTATTTGTAAAACATGGGTTCAAAGATAACAAGCATCAACGTGTTCGGCGACTGCGCGTTTACACAGAGCGCGAACACAAATGTGTGTACGTTCAAAACATGTTTGTTTTCATTCTCGCCACACACATGTGTACACGCACGAAAACAGTTGCGGCCAACAGGCAGATTCCCCTTGCAACCACCCCTTGGATCTAGCTTTGACAACATGTATCCCAAATCCGGCAAACTTTTCCACGCGCTGGAACAAAGCACGCGCTTTCACCTTATGCGTACTTTCGCAACACCTAAAGCGTTAGAATCTTGATCAGTGCTTCAATCCGTAAGGGAACATGCATCAAGAGACAAAAGAGAACGACGGTGCGTGTCCTTTCCCGCCTTCCGGCACGGATAATACTGCATCCGGCCGAGTGAACAAGCTGTTCACTACAGCCTGCAAATTTTTGTGCAACTAGTCGCCGCGCGGGCTTACAAGCGCAAATGGTCAGTGCTAGCCGCACAACGTGTGGGCTGATCAGCTCAGCCGCGGAAATATTTCCGCGTTCGACAGCAAGCCGCATGCTCGCTTTCGATTTCGCCCGCATGATTTCACGCCCCGTGGCGGCCGGAGCTAAGAGTGCTTTGCAAACGCTCTGAAAAGGGGTGGAACCCTGAAGTGGGGGGCGTTTGGGAAGGCTCCACAGGGGGGTGCAGACACGATGCCGTGCACGCCTTGGCCTTCGGTAGCCCAAGCGATTCGCATGAGTGCAAGCTGGGCCAAGGTTTCAAAGCAAGCTATATGGCGTTGGGCCTCCTGGCCAAGGCCGTCGTGTCCTCTAGAGCCTGTAGACGTCCACCGTTCTCTCTCTTTAGAGGGGGTTTCCCAAATGGATTCTATTCCACCTGGTAGGCTCCTAGCACTCGTCCGTCCAGGAAACGACCTCGTCCTGCGAAGGATTCGAAACCTAAAACGCTGCGTGCAGGCGTGTGGCTGCAACATAACGACCCCGAGATATGCTTGCAATTTGGCTCCAGGTTGCATTTCAAGCGAGCCAACCTTTGCAGGGCTAAGAAAATACCAAAAAAAAAGAAAACAAGGGGTCCCCAAAAAAGGGGTTCCGAAAAAAAAAAAAAAAGGGAAAAGGTTTCCTTTGGCAAAGCTGAGCGAGCTAACAACCCGGGACATTTCCTGGCAATTCTCCGGACCTAATTCGGCTCCTGAAACAACCCCCACTGTCTGCGGAATCCCCGGACGAGGGGCTGCTGCTCCCTTGACTGGAACTGCTTTGGTGGCTCTCTCTTTAGAGGGGGTTTCCCAAATGGATTCTATTCCACCTGAGAGGCTCCTAGCACTCGTCCGTCCAGGAAACGACCTCGTCCTGCGAAGGATTCGAAACCTAAAACGCTGCGTGCAGGCGTGTGGCTGCAAAATAACGACCCCTAGATATGCTTGCAATTTGGCTCCAGGTTGCATTTCAAGCGAGCCAACCTTTGCAGGGCTAAGAAAAAAACAAAAAAAAAGAAAACAAGGGGTCCCAAAAAAAGGGGTAAAAGGGAAAAGGGGTTTCCTTTGGCAAAGCTTGACCTCGCTTGAAATGCAACCTGGAGCCAAATTGCGGCGCATATCTAGGGGTCGTTATTTTGCAGCCACACGCCTGCACGCAGCGTTTTAGGTTTCGAATCCTTCGCAGGACGAGGTCGTTTCCTGGACGGACGAGTGCTATGGAATAGAATCCATTTGGGAAACCCCCTCTAAAGAGAGAGGTGGACCTGTCAATATTGATCCATTGTTGACTCAAGATGATTCAAAGTTGATTCAATATTGATCCATTGTTGACTCAAGATGATTCAAAAACGATTCAACATTGAGCCCGGCATTGAAGCCCTGCCGCGCCACCTGCCTGGCATAGAAGCCTCCACCCGGCCGCACCACCTGCCCGGCATCGGAGCCACGCCAGCCCGCCGAGTCATACAAATCACGTGTTTTAATGTCCATAAGGTGGACATTAAATCCTACCGCTTTCCAGGACACTGGCTCGCCCAACGTGGAGGCTTTGATACCGCGCCACATTCCTGCCTGGCATCGGAGCCACGCCAGCCCGCCAAGTCACACGGATCATACGGATCATACGGATCATACGGATCATACGGTCAGAAGCCTCCATCCGGCCGCGCCACCTGCCCGGCATCGGAGCCTCCAGCCTGCCGAGCCTGCGCCACCCGCGGTCGGAATTCCGACTCCCACCAAGGTCGGAATTCCGACTTCGGTATTTTGCCCGAAAAACAATACTCGGTTTGCCATCAATCCTGCGTTGGGCACAGGATTGCCCCACTCAATCCTGCGTTGGGCACAGGGTCAATCCTGCGCTGGGCACAGGATTGCCCCACTGGGCACAGGATTGCCCCCCCGTCAATCCTGCGCTGACAACAGGATTGCCCCCTTCAATCCTGCGCTGGCAACAGGATTGCTCCACTCAATCCTGCGCTGACAACAGGATTGCCCCCTTCAATCCTGCGCTGGCAACAGGATTGCCCCGGTGTCTCCCACAAAACTGTGGGTGCGATGCGCTACTGACGGCATCACTCCCACTCGCCGCGGAAGCGCCCTGCCATATAGCAAGCAGCTCCCGCACTCGCCGCCCGGCTTCCCGGCTTCAAATTTGGGAAGTAACGCAAAGGAATGGGGAAGATCAAGCTGTTTCCTACGACAGAGTATAGCAGTAAGCAGCCCTCTGACCCCGTGGTGCCCCTGGTGCCACGCACGGGCATCTTCCTCGGGCCATCAAAATCGGGCAAAACCGTGGCTCTGATCAGCCTGATTCTGGAGCAGTATCGCGGCGTCTTTGAAAAAATTTACATCTTCAGCCCGAGTGTCAACATAGACGACGGCTGGATCCCCGTCAAGAAGTATATTGAGGAGGACCTGGGGGTGAACACAGAGCGGGAGCAGACCTATTGGGACGAGTGGGACGAGGCGGCGCTGCGGCGCATCATCCAGCAGCGCAAGATCACGGAGGCGTCCAAGAAGTTGGAAATGAAGAGCTGCGCCAGCAATTTCCTAACGCAGCGGACGACCCTGCTGCGCCGCCCGCCTCTCCGACCAAGCCCTTCAGCGTGGACCACACGCTGGGCCCAAGCTTCGTCTCCGGCGGGCAGCAGGTCTTTGAGTTTGTCAGGATGATGGCGCACAACGAGGTCTACCTGCGCCCAGCTGGCCAACGCGCTGGGCAACCTGGGCGACATCCTCTCCAAGATCACGGTGCGGGCACCATTGTGGAGACGGGCTCCGACGACGGGCACTTCATGGCCCTCAGGGGCCCCGTCACCCTGAGGCACGGTTCGTCTTTGTCGTTCGTGTTATATCTTGACCACGTATAATTAAAAAGGATGGAGCCGACCGAACAAGAGGCGCCAGAGGCGCACCACACGCTGCGCCGGAGGCGCCACACGCTGGAGGCACCGGAGCCGAAACGACGGGGCAGGCCCCCTGGCAGCAAGAACAAACCGACGCAGGACGTGCCTACTGAGCCGGCTGCCCCGAAGCGCAAGCCAAAGCCGCCTCCGGTTGAGGCACCACCGGACGAGGCACCGGCGGAGGCACCACCGGTTGAGGCACCACCGGTTGAGGCACCACCGGTTGAGCTCACAAGAGAGCAGCAGCGCGCCCTGCGCATGCTGGAGAGGCAGTCCGCTTATGACCGGTTGACCACAGGCGCAAGCGTGCTAGTGTAAAAGCAAGATGATGTCCATTGAACCCCGCAACGAGCCGCAGATGCTCCGGTGGTTCCGCAAGACGTACCCCAGCTATAACTTGCAGCCGCTGCTGCTGAAGCGCTACCGAGAACTGGAGGAGGCGCGGGCCTTCAACAACTGGCTGGGCGAGCGCAGGCAGGCGCAGGAGGGCAGTGGCACCTGAAGAGATCCGAGGGATGAAGC